AGATGAATGGAGATCCTAGCTGGTATGATTTGTTGCTAGAACCCAAAGTCAAAATTGACACAGCTGGAAGACAGAAAAAGGCTACTAGAACCAGTGATTTGGAAACCAGGAGACAAATTGGTCCAGTACTCTGTGAAGACAGAGAAAGAAACAGACTCCATTTCCAGCAGAATCATTAGTTCATTCAAAAACTATGAATCAGTGGCATTGACGGTAAAAGCAAATGTCCACTGAGGCACACCATGTCTGAGTGGAACAGTTGATGCATGTGCTGAAACTAGTGCTAGACTGCTGGATCTATTCTGCGTAGGTGTCGGGGAAGCCAAAAATGCCTCAGTTATCCAAGTTTTCTAGGCACTGAAGACATGGGCTTCCCAGAAACAGGTTCTGGAGTTTTGGCACCAGAACCTTGCATCTGATTCATCACAAAGGATTTCCATGGAGAACTTTGAAACGGGGGTCTCCTTCTGGAACAAGCAGCTAAATTTGCACTGTGAGGAAAACCTGAGGACGGCCCCCCCAATAGCTGATTTGTACTCTTGCAGGTTTTGCGAATACTCAGATACTAGAGCCTGGCTTCCTGCTTCTTCTTGGCCTGATTTACAAGTAGTGCAAAGTCATCCCTCCCCTCCCCCACATCATCATACCTGTCAGGGGGCAGGCATAGTACCATCACAGGAAGAACATAACTTCACTGTTCTTAGGGGAACTTGAATGTGGCTTATGGGAAACCAGATCAACAGTTGAAGGAGGTATCTGAGCACAACCAAGGGAAACATGGATCTTGGAACTTAAGAAATGCCATGGGAAAAAAAACATGAAGCAAGAACCAACTCCCTAGGAGAGTTGAAACAAAGGAAAAGTGGAGGAAAGAAAACAAAGGCAGGTTCTAAAAGCAGCTCTTGACAAGCTGCAGTCTGAATGAGACTACAGAAGCTCCATTTTCAGCCATGGCCTCTAAGAGGAACTGAGAAACAGGGAAAGCAAACTTCCTTTTAGGCTCTTAATGTAAAACAACAAGAGAAGCAAAGGCAAGCATGCACCTACAGAAAAAAAACCAGAGCTCGAGTGCTTGAGGTACATGCAAATCTACTTAAAAAATGTGGATGGACAGCACACACAGGACAACTAGCGCATCCATGCAGAAAACTTAACTGCTGAAAAATTGAGCAAACTGTGTTAAGAGCCAAATACTCAAAAGTTAGCAAACATCTCAGTACATAGGCACAATATTTCTTATTATGTTGGAAATTTACATGCACCAGCTTGTTTTATATGCATCAAAGATTAAATCAGGCAGGAGTAACAAATGTATTTCATTAATTTACATAGTCCTAGCATATTCTTGGTCATCTCTCAAGGGAAAAAAATTCTGTCAAAGCAATGAGTTATGTTTAAATAGTGCTTTCAGATTAAAATCTAGAATTCTCCATGAAAGTAAAAAAAGAAAGAAAACTTTGTTTGTCAGTGAAAAAACTCACCAGAGACCAATAAGAGCCATGCAAAGGCAGAGCAAACAACAGGGAAAAAAAGGAAGAACCAAGAAGCAGAAAAATAGTAATTTTCATTTTAAGCAATACACATTGCTTATAAGAAAACCA